AATGAGTTAACAGAGCAAAATTTGGTCAATAGATGCCAACAGCCCCAGGCACATAGTGAACACTGTATAAATGTTAATTATCATTCTTTGGGGTTTTTTTTCTCCCTTTTTTCTTTTTTCCTGGAAAGTGGCCAGGCCTGAAATTACAGGGACAAAAGTCCTCTCTTGTCTTGAAGTTGCTGATGTGGAAGGGAAATCACAGCTCTCCAGCGATGCTGAGTGAAGCAGCCTGGCCGGGTGGCGGCTGAGGGGACAGGCAGCCGGGGGTCCTGCCCACCGTGGAGCGAAAGCCCCACGCCCCCCGGGCCGGGCAGATCTGACTCGCAGAGGGGCGCTGGGTGCCTGGAGAGCCGGACGGGCTGTGCCTGCCGCCTTGGCCCGTCGAGGCCCGGGTCCGCCCCGCCCCAGCCCGGGGCCTGCCTCTGCGTTCAGCCCAGGGAGGCAGGGCCTGACCGGGTCTAGTCTGCAGCGTCGCTCGCAGGCCTGACCTGTGGCTTTAATCCAGTGCTCTGACAACATGCCCATGTATTCCCTGTCACCTCGGCTGTGGCTATGAAAATTGTTTAACTAATTTTTAAAAAACGGAACAAAAACTCCCAATTCCAAAACCTGTGTCGTCTCACTGAACGTCTGAACGGAGACGATCAGTGATCAGCCAGTGGAGACGTTTAGAAGAGGGCAGAGGTCAGGGAGCAACGCAGAAGGGGCTGTCACTCCTTAGCGGCACGCGCACAGCCCCCCACCACCGCCCTCACCATCCTCCTCACCATCCTCCTCACCTTCCTCCTCACCATCCTCCTCACCATCGCCACATGGCTCCCCTGGGCCCCTTCTCCCACCGAGAAAACTCCTACCAAGTAGCACTTTGCAAGGGCTTTGCAATTTTGCCTGTTTTGATGGGGCAGGAACATGTGGTTTCCGTCTCCTCTCCCCCTTCACGGTTATCCGCCCTCCATGGCAGGTTCGTGGAGGACCAGGTTTGGTCATCTTTTTTTTTTTTTTAACATTGGGAGTTGAGGAAAAACGGCGTTTCCCCTGTCCCCGATGTCAGTTCCTCTGCCGCAGCCGGGGTTTAGAGCAGTGCATTCTGGAAAGTGGTCCGGGGAAGGGGCAGCTGGTGCCCCAAAGCGGGAGGTCCCGTCCCGGCTGGACTTCTCCCGGAGGAGAGGGGCTTCCCTTTCCCTGCGACCCTTCAGAAGCAAGAGGAAGCCTCCCGCTGGCGGCTGCAATACGAACTGCAGTCGGGTCCTTCCCGCCAGGAGCCCTCGTTTCTCAGGCTGCTCCTGGGCAAAAGCTGCCCGCCTGTGTTGGAATTTTTTTTTAAAGTCCTTCTCAAAAGACCTCTCTGGTTTCCTCTCCCCATGCCATCCGCCCATCTTAGGGGGACGCTGGTTCATGGATATATTTGTGACCAGTTATCAGATTGCGTCATCGTCATCACAGCCTGAGCCCCACCTGAAGTGACAGTACTTGTACCCTTATTAGTCAAGGGAAGGATGCTACGCTTTATCGCTAACCTGCCTTATCGTTGTTGTATTTTTTCAGGTGAGCAATATTATAACTTGATACCGGTATACACTACACGGTGTTCACAACTGTAAATCCCATTACCATCCATCACCACAGAATTAAACTCCTTGTGGCGCTCTGACCAAGGGCCCACTGTGAGCCCAACAAGAATCACCAAGGGATCTGCATCAGCTGGGTTTTGCTGTGATGACGCTGAATCACAAACAACCCTGACACCTCAGTGGCTTATGACAACATATGCTTTTATCTTGGTTACGAGGCTGGGGGCTGAGTCCCGGTCTGCCCCAGGTGCCCCACCGGGGACACGCTGCTCTCATGGCAGAGCACGGATTTGCCAGGAGGCCAGTCACACCGCACAAGCACATTTAAAGCCTCTGTTGGACGTGGCGTATGTTACGTCCACTCACATTCCATCGGCAAAAGCAAGTCACATTGCCAAGTCAAGGACCACAGTGGGGGTGTGCTCCATCCTCAGTGAAATGTGGCAAGGGGAGAAGGGAGAGCAGTGAAGGGTAATTCCGTCCTTCCCTTCCCTTCACATTTCCCTGCCACTGCCCTTCCCTTCATGTTTAAGAGCTGCCTTCTACCCAGCATGGAGGCCACAACAAGGAGTTTGGCAGTGGCTCCCGTCCCCAGCCCAGCACAGCAACCCCACCCCCCAATGCCCCACCCCCCATCCTGGCTTCTCTGTGGACCTGGCTCTTTACCACTCTCCTGGCTCCTCCCCTTCCCTCCGTTGTTAGGGAACCAAAACCCAACTCAGTCTTTTCCCTTGACCCCTCCACCTATCCCCCCCGCCCCCACGCTTCCTCTCCTCTCCGCCCTGCTTGCCTTTAAGCCCAGCGAGTCCTTCCCCTGCCACCCTGGGTATCTTTGGGCAGAGCCTCGGCAGGACGGGACGTTTCTCACGGCCAAGGTGGCCTCCTCCGGGTGGACACTTGCGGTGTAATGATGAAAGAGTTTCTCTCTCTGAACGCCGTGAGTCACGCTCTCAAATATCTCTACTTTTCAACTCTGACGTTCCAATGGGCCCAAACCCGGGAACGGGCGTGGGTTATTTTTCAGATCCCAGGAAGGCAGAGGGGGTTCAGAAAGTGAAGGCAGAAAAATCCTGCTCCCACCACTCATTCCAACGTCCCAAACCACGCAGTGGGCCCTTAACCCGTTTTAGCGCATGTCTTTCCCGCGCCAGTCCTTTGAGGGAGGAATGGCCTCATTCTCCCCCAATTCTGCAACTGAGGAAATGGGGCAGAGAGGTGTGTATCTGGCCATCGTAATACAGCTCAGCAGTGCAGGAGCTGGTCTAGAACTCGCCTGTGTCTTCCCCAAAGAGCTGTCTTCTCTGAGGAATTAAGGGGGAGTCGTGGTAGATGGGTGGGAGGTGGGGATTTGAGGAGGGAGGAGAAAAGGAGCCATCACAGAGCCAGACAGCGAAGGTCCCTGTTCCTCTTTCCCTTCCACCACAGCCATCGCGGGGCAGAAAAGGCCATGTGGGCATTTTCAATGGGGGGAGTGGGGAGGCGGGGCGGGGGTCAGCTGGGGCCTGGGCAGCGGCGGGGCCCCCTGGGTTCCACCCACAAGCTTTCTAGTATGTGGGGCGTCACCCCTTTCTCCCTTCTCTAATGTATTCTTCCTCATTCAGCTGAATAGTTCTCTTCAGAGGATTTCTTTTTTTTCAGTTTGATCAAAGCTGCTTTTCTTCTCCCCGAGCTTTACTTGGGTGGCCCTGTGGGGACATCTGCGCGGGGCGTCCTGCACACGTCTCTCGGCATGACCGCACGCTCGCCAGCCTCCCCAGGTTGTCTGACGCCAAGGCAGGCTGAGAGCGGGATCAAAACATTCTTTCTGTCTTCTCGAGGCCTTTTAAAAAGATGATTTATTTTTCCCCAGTGGAATCCAAATGTTTGAGAATACAGATGATGAATCCAACTTGAAAATATATTTTTCTTTTTAGAAGGAAAAAAAAAGAAAGCCCCAAACAGAGCCTTTGTTCGTGGCCATTTCTCCTTCTAGTTTTAATTGAAAATACGGGCTTCTTGCCCACTGTGTGAGCCTGGACAAACCTTAGCACTCTGGACTTTTTGGTTTTCTCCTCTGTCCAATAGGAATGGTAGGATTCCCATTTCTGTATGTTTTTGTGAGGATTAAAGGATATACTAACTGATATGCAATGAGAAGTTAATATCGATGAGAAGGAGAGGGACCGAACACTTCATCTTTTGGGGTCTCCTCTATAGAAATCCTCATTATTTCCCCCAGAACTGCACGCCTGGATATTCAGCACAGCGTTATTCGCTATAATAAAAACTGGAAATGATCTGAATGGCCTTCCCAGCAAGGAATGGGGAAAGGAATTCTGGCATGTTCCCCAGGGAATGATGTGCAGCCCTTAAGTAACTCTACATCGACAAAGACAGATACGGAAAAAGGCTCTGGGCATGTTGTCATGTCAACCAAAGCAAGCGGTGGGATAGTCACCTCCTTCATGCTAAAAATAATCGCCCTGTGTAGTGGACTGAAAAACTGGTATAGCCGCTACGGCAACAGTACGGAGGTTTCCCAATCCATTACAGATAGAACTACCATATGTTGTAAGTTGAATAAGTTATAGGATGAATAAGTTCTGACTCCAAAGCCCGGGGGCTCAGACAGCTGTTGGCAGCCCTGTTCCCGCCTTTCCCGCCGGCTCCCCAGCTGCTTCCTTCTGGGGGCTCCACGGGGCCCAAGCATCAGAATCCCAGGTTTCTGGGCCCCTGCTTCTGACTGAGTAGTTCTGGGGTGGGGCCTGTGAACATGCCTTTCTGACAAGTAAGTTTCCAAGTGATGCTGTTGGTCCTGGGGCAACATGTTGAAAATAAATCACTGCCCCAGGGTGCGTCTTTGCCAGTAGCACCTGTGGAGTTGGTGGCCGGGCAGCCAACTTCCTTTTGAGCAAGAGGGGCCGGCAAAGTGGCGCACTCCTCCCACGGGCAAGGCCGTGGTCGTGAGACCTTGAGCCTCCCCTGCCTGCAAGGGAGGCTGGGCAGAATCACCTGCAGCTGAGCAGCCGTGTGCCCCGGTAAAGGGACCAGTGTGTTTGTGGGAGACAACGAGAGGCCTGCAGAGTGGCCGGGGGCCTCATAGGGAGCTCAATCGAGAGAGGCCCAGCGCTCAGCGGTGGCGACAGATGTGGAAGAGACTCTTACGGTGCTTGATGATCAGTGTCATAGGGTGGTTTACTCAAGGGGAAGCCCCAGTCTGCCTGCAGGTCTCAGGGGATCCCCGGATGCAAGCAAGCTATGCGGTGAGGCAGGAGGGCTGGTCGAGTGCCCCGCCTCTCTTGGAGGCAGCTGGGTATCCCTGCCTGGGCTCTGCTCTTTCCCCTCTGCAGGCACCCAGGGTGGGCCTTCCTGCACCGTCCCCGCTGTTTTGTGGGTTGGGACAGACGATATCCTGGGTCTCAAATTTTCTTTTTCTACCCCGTCCCCCAGGCATCTTGGCTCAGGAGAAAGCTGCGTGGCAAGAGGCGGCTGGGGATGGCACTCTGCCTCCTGATGACTCTGTCTGTGATGGCTGTCCCCTGCTTCCCCACACAGCCTCAGGCTGCCATGGAGCCGCAGTGGGTAACCGGTGGCCCTGCCGCCCACAGCCCGCAGGCTCTGGGCTCCCGCTGGAGGCCGCGAACAAGAAAGCTGCGCTTCTGGAGAGACTGGGCCCTGCCCAGGAGTTCCATTGTGTGTGCCGAGGAGCAAAGCCACAGAGGGGGACCGGACAGAAGCAGGTCCCCAGGAGGGGAAGGCAGGCGTATAGGGCGGGGCAAGAGGGACGTTGCTTTGGCGCCTGCAGGAGATTGGAGACTCAGGACTCAGCATCTCGTGCTTCTGAAGGAGGGTGAGGTTAAGGGTCCAGAAGTCAGAGACCTGCGACCCCTTTGGAAGGATGGTCCCATCCAGGAGAGGCAGAGTGAGACAGACACCCTGACCAGCCCCATCGTTGGGCCCCGGGCAGCAACTGCTGGACCAACTCTCCGGCCCCATCCAGCCCAAAACAGGGATCTGCCAGGAGCTGGGAACAGAGCCTTGCCTGGTGCGCTGAAAGCAGGGGGACCCACCCCAGCCACAGGGACTCACTGGTGGCCTGGCTCTGTCAGGGAGCTGCAAGGATCTACCTGGTGTGCCGCTGAGACCTCTGGGCTGGTGACCAGCCTGGGGACCGGGGGGCAGGTGCCCCCATGGCTCACGGAGCACGACAGGCAGGCCCTCCAGCTGTTGGCCCAGGGGCAGGTGGCGGGCAAGGCCAGGGTCCCCGGCCATGGGCAGGTGCTGCAGGTCAGCTTCTCCTCTGAGGGCGCCCTTCAGGACGCGTCTCCCAGGCTTGGCGGACTCTGCTCCCAGGGGCTCTGTGGCCTGATCAAGAGACCTGGGGACCTGTCTGAGGTCCTGTCCTTCCACGTGGACCGCGTGCTGGGGCTGCGCCGGAGCCTACCTGCTGTGGCCCGGCGCTTCCACAGCCCCCTGCTGCCCTATCGCTACACGGATGGTGGCGCGAGGCCTGTCATCTGGTGGGCCCCCGATGTGCAGCACCTGGGCGACCCAGACAATGACCAGAACTCTCTGGCCTTGGGCTGGTTGCAGTACCAGGCCCTGCTGGCGCGGGGCTGCGGCGGGCCAGGCCGGGCGCCGTGCCTGGGCATCCGCTACGCCGAGTGGGCGCGCCTGGCTCTCTTCGACTTCCTGCTCCAGGTATGGGGGCTGGGCCGGGCGGGGCTGGGGAGCAGCAGGAGGGGGGACTCTCCGCCAAGGCCTTGTGTTTGGACCACCAAACACCTGGTTTGGTCGTTTTTCAGCCTCTGTGTTTGCTTATCCAGTCACCGTGTGCTAGAATTCGTATCAGGTCACGAGAGCGGATGGTTAAAATTTTCAGGAATTTTGCGGCCTGGTTGTGAAACACAGGTATTTTAAAAATTAAATTAAATAAACTAAAAATATAATAATGGCATTATCAACGAAGGTAATAAACATTCAGAACCTATTGCTTCCTCATTCTTTTACTAATTTTCTTATTACCTGTGCTGTTGAGGTGGTTAGCGTATGTCTAGTAAATGCTACGTAACGGGTGGCTCCATGCCTCCCGCCAGCTCCACACGCGGTCTCGTGGGCCTCTTGGAACTGGCCTGGGTGGGGCTACTGACCCCATGAAACCCAGCTCAGGCTACGTATCAGGACTCCCCCTCCCTCTGCGGAGTTAAACATTCATCAGCACCTACTATCTGTAATGTTATATCCTTGACTCAGCAAGGACTCAAGATGGTTGTGTAATTTAAAAATGAGATAGAGAGAGAAGAGGGAGAAAGAGAGAGGTGATCTTGGCCCAGTCTGGGCACTGAAGAGTGAGAAGGAAGCCACAGGGCAGCTGAGGTCCCTGCTATACCGGGAGGTGACCTGGAGTTTCTGGGCACCCTGGGGAAGCGGCTGGAGTTTCTGGGACCCCCAGTCAGGGCAGAGGGGTAAGTGGGGGACTGCAGGCATCAGCTGTTTACGGACTGGCCTGGGGTGGCTCTATGGCGTGTATTCCATGAGTGTCTCAGTGTTCCCTGCCAGGACTGGGCCCAGGCACCCAAAGTGATGATCGCTGGCCCTCCCTGTGTCACGTCCCCTGCCTGTATTTTGGGATTAGCTCACAGGTAAACCACTTTCACTTGAATCCTCTTCTCCAGGTCTGTCTCTGTGGGAGCCGGATCTGGTGGTAACACTGACCTTGTGTGGTTTCTGTACACGAGATCCTTCGTGCGATGTACCTAAGACAGTGCCTGGTAAATGCCACATGCTCAATAATAAGCAGGCGCTGTCCTCAACACTTGACATGGATTAACTCATCCAGTCTTCATAGCAAACATATGAGTGAGATACTACCTTTGTCTCTATTGTAAAGTTGAGAAACTGAGGCTGGGAGAGGTGCAGTTACTTGCCCCAAGGTCATGGCTGCTGGAGCAGAGATGCAGCCTGGACGGTCTGACTCCTGAGCTCGTCCTCTCCATCAGAGTCACCAGTCACCTGGCCAAGACCGAGGGCAGGAAAAGGGGACCTTTGCAGGGACGCTCAGGGGCCTTGAGATCGGAGGCACCTCCTTGCGAAGCCCCGGTCCAGCTGCACAGCGGCCTTCTGCTCTGCACAGTGGCTCCCTGTCTGTCTCCTGGGGTTGTGGTGTGGGACCCACCCCCAGCTGCCAAGGCCTGCCGCAGGGACGGAAGTCTCAGCAGCCAAAGCACACACAGGTTGGGTGTGCGGTCAGACGCGACTTAGTTGGCCTTGTGCCACATTTTCCCTGGTCTGCTGCAGAATGGTCAAGTCAAACACTCCTGTCTGGCCAGCGCTGCCTTCCTAGAAACCACTAGCAAGCAGGGAGAGGTGGGGCTGTGGGTTTCCCAGCACAGGAACTGGAGGTACCTTCTGACCAGGAGCTGGATACAAACTCCGCATACAGCTTACTCTGGTGGGCTTGCTACTTTGTTTTGTTTGATCCATCACAAACTCCTATCTTCCTATGTGTGTGAATCACGACATACCACTTTCCTGGACACAAACTACACAAGCACTGCACACATGCACATTCTTTATACCCCCACACATCCTATGCTTTGCAAATCCTACATGGCACTCTGTATTAGTTAGTGATTTTGGAGATGATGCTGTGTAACAAACCTCTCCAAAACTCAACAGCTTAAAACATCAGCTCCTCATTTCTTGCTCCAGGGTCTGTGGGTCAGTTGGGGTCATTTGAACTTGGCTCCCAGCTGGGGGCGAGCTCAGGACAGCTCTTCACCTCTCATTCTGGAGCCCCAGCTGCAGGAGCAGTACCACCTGGGCAAACCTCTCATGGGGAATAGGAGAAGCCCAAGAGCCCATTCAAACTGCAGGGGCACACTGAAGGCCTTGCTGATGTTCGCTAATATTCCTTTGGCCAAAGCAAGTCAACGGCCAAGCCCATCATCAGGGAAGAGAAACAAGCACAGTCTGCGCGGTGTAGAAGGGGGAGAGGAGAAAGTATTTGTTGGACAACAATCAAGTTAATCACACACACTTCAAACAGACACATTGCACACTTATATGCGAACCTTGTAAGCCTGCATGTGCTATAGCCACACACCTACGCACATACTCCCAATGGCGCCCAGACACTGCTACGGGCAACTGAGGGTCAGTCCTACAGATATCTCTGGGTGGGTATATAGGACGTGCCTCGGAGCTGTCCCACCTGGGGACCAAAGGAGCCTGCTGTTGACCCACCGACTCCCAACGTCACTGGCTGAGACAGCTCCTAAGGGCATGGACCTTGTGGCACTTGTAGCCTGGCCTGCGCGCCAGCCAGCCAGACCTGTTCCAGCTCCCAGCAAGGGGCGAAGACCGAGAGCCAAGGCACTTTGTGTAGGAATTGTGAGTGCCAAGGGGATATGGGTGGGATACCAACAGCACCTCCTGCTTATAATGGTGTGAGGTCAAAAACAAGTTTCAGCAAGCCAGAGTTCCCAGGTTTCGGGAGGCTGGCTTCTTCCGGGTGAGACTGGCCTATTTCCTTCCCAAGGAGTCCATTTCAGTCACTTGGGATCTTGTATGTGTTACTTATTTTGAGTCTGAATCTACAGCTGCTTCATGGGTACCTCCTCTGGCTTGGTTTACCTGGAACATCAGGTGTTTTATCCATTAGAGAGGAGACCAGATTTATGACTGCTCTGACCTCTTGGGCCTCCAACCAGAGAGACGTGAACTATGATAGCAGCTACCATTTATGAAGTGTGACGTCTGGTGCAAACAGCACACATGAACTCATTTAAGTCCCAAAACAGACCCAAGAGAGGGGGGCTGTGCTTCTCCCTATCTCACAGGTGGTGCAGCCAAGGACAGCAGAGCGAGCACCTGCCTGGACAAGGATGTTGGGAGGGTGGCACTGAGCAACTTCTCGTATGTTTAAAAGCGGGACCCAGATTAGGCTGAGGTGTGATAGGCAGAATTCTAAGATGGTCCCCAAGATTCCCTTCATCCCAGTACTAACCCTTCTCGTGAGTGTGGGCAAGACCTGTGAACCTGGTAGACTATTGCTCTAATGATTAGGTCACTAATTATTAACTCTGAGCTGATTAAAAGAGAGGTCATCCTGGGTAAGCTGAACCTCATCAGGTGAATCTTTTAAAGAGGATAAAACATCTGAGAGACTTCGCTGCTGGCCTCAAGGAAGAAAGCAAAGAGCTACCACATGCACTGCCTGTGGGCCAGGGAGCCTCTAGGAGGACCCTGAGATTCCTGAGGAAGTAGTCCTACATCTTCAAGGACTGGTTTCTGTCAACTACGTGGAATGAGTGTAGGAGGAGCCCTGAGCTGCCATGAGAGGCGGCCCTGGCTGATGCCTTGAGTTCAGCCTGGTGAGACCCTGAGCAGAGAACCTGGCAGACAAGCGATAGATGCCTGACCCACGGAAACCGTAAGATGACGTGTTTCCTTAAGCCACTAACCTCCTGGTGATTTGTTACACAGCAGTAGGACATGATTTTATGAGGCAAGGGAGGGCCCAAGGTGCAAACATGGTGGGGGGCTCCCTCACAGGCATTGACCCTGCTCTGCATGACCCCGAGAGGGGGCCTCCCCCGATTCCTTCCGCCTCGCCCCCATCCGGTCTCTGTTTAAACATTGTTTAACTGTCTGTTCATATCTTTGTCCCATTTTCTGTTGGGTTGTTGGTCTTTTTCTTAATGGTTTCAAGACTTTTCAGAGTTTGGGAAAATTATTCTTTTGTTTTCATTGTACTGCAATATTTCTCTCAGGTTCCATTGTCATTGATCTTCATTGACAGTCTCTTTGCTGTGCAGAACTTTTAAAAAATTTTATGTTAAAATTTTCAAGCTTTTATGACTTCTAGGTTAGTATATTATAATTTTAAAAGCCAGCCTCATGTCAGGGTTATTTTAAAAATTCTCCCATGTGTTTTCATATATCTTTGATCTATCTGGCCGTTATTTTGGAGTAAGAAATAAGGTGCAAAACAGTGATTTGTTTTTCCCCCTGAAGTGGCAACCCAAATGTTCTACCACCGTGTGTTGAATAATCAATCTTTACCCCAGTCTGAAATATTGCCAATTTCCATGTGTACGTAGGTCTATTTCTGGGCTCTTTTCTGTCCCAGTAAAGGGTCTATTTATATGCCAGAATCACACTGTTTTAATTACTGAGTTTGTATATTATGTTAATAACTAGCAGGTCATAGTCTTTCTCATTGCTCTTTCTCAGAATTGTCCTGATCGTCTAGTATACTATTCTCAAGAAGCTTAGAGTCAGCTTGTTGCTTCCTTCTCCCTTCCACGTCCTATTGGGATTTTATTGGAATCAAATTAAATTAGTGTGGACTAAGAGAGAGAGAATTTACACCCTAAAACGTAGAGTCTTCTAGCCAAGAGTAGGATACAGCTGTGTATTCACGCCGCTTGAAGCATCTCGATGCTTCCTGCAGCTGGATCCTCACTTTCATATTGGGTTATTCCTGGGTATTTCATCTCCTGTGGCTGCTGAAAATGGGGCCTTTCTCCTTCTTTATATGTTCTGGCCTTAGCTCTTGGTCTGCGTGAAGACTCTTATCTCTGTGTATTAGTTTGGTTACTGGCCACCTGTTCCCTTTGCTTTGCTTCAACCGTTGAGGGTTTGCCCTTGGTTTTCCAAGTTCACCCTCATATTATCTGTAATGTTGGTTCTCTCTTCTCATCACTTCTTCCTTCTTTATCCCACCTCATTGCATTGCTGGTGTCTCCAGAGCAATGGTAAATATTAATGGCACAGTGGACGTGACTTGTTTCTACAGACTCGGGGCGATTTCTAGTGTTTTTGCTGTGGAGGATGCACATTGTTCGTAATGGCTGCTGGTCTTTGTGTTGATGTTTAAAATTTGGAGTGATCCCCAATGTCTTTTTAGATAAGCTCTAGCTCTCTTCCACCTGTCCTCTCAAAGCCTGTCGGTAGGCCTGTTCATCCAAATCCTAAGCTGGTGTCTCGACTTCCTCCTCAGGCTTGGGGCAGAAGGGGCTCTTCCGGAGGCTCTGGGAAGATTGCCCTTTGTTGGGAGGCCCCACACGAGAGCGTGAGAGTTAGTGCAAGTTACCTCCCCATGCCCCGACCTCCCTGAAGCCGTGTGAAATCTTTCATAGGCAGCCAGTTCGTGTGAGACCAGCCCCCTGCCCTCCCGGGAGAGAGAAGCTGCCACCCTGCAGTAATCTGACCCCCAGGCAGCAAGCCAGCTCAGCCCAGGGTCCGCCCTTAGAAGGACTGTGCGGCTGCCTCCACGTTGAGGGAGGGCTCCTGCATTGTGGGCTGGGAGGAGGGGTGATGGGGGGCATGGGCCGCCAGTGACAGCCGACACGGCTCTTCCAGAATCTACCAGGCCCAGGGCAGTTTTTCAAAAAGGGTGAAAAGAATCAAATCCTGAATGTTTGTGGGAATGAAATTTGAACTTGGTGTTGATTGGTTGCTAGTCTGCTGTTGGTTAAACTGAATTTCTCTTAAGTGGAAAAGAATAGCCAGAGGGTGTGGCACAGTAATCAAACTGGCAGCTGGGCCCAGCCAGGCCCTTTCTGTTCGGCATTTAAATGGGTGAAGATTTAGGGAAGCCAGTAATGCATGTGTGTCATAGGGGCCAAAATTCCTTGTAGCTTTCTTTGTAAATAAACATGGCTGCACATTGAAATCTGTGCAGAATGGCCTGGAGTCCTGAGTGGTCCCCTAGGTAGACACGCAGTTAGCACCAGACCCCGGGCCTCCGGCCAGAGCTCCGGAGCAGCTGTAGGTGAAGCCGAGGGTGTGGCTGGAAACCCGTGCTGGCCTGAGGCAGAGCAAACGGCTCTTGGTGTGCAGGGCACGCCGCTGGCCAGAGGAGCGGAGCAGAAGCCTCAGTAGGAGGCAGAGGCCAGCGACAGAGTCATGGAGCCCTGTCCCCAGCGTGTGGCCCTGGGTGCTGGGCCTGGTGGAGACGTGCACTGTGCCACCTGCCCTCAGAGGATGGGTGTCCCCACAGGTCCACGACCGCCTGGATCGCTACTGCTGTGGCTTTGAGCCCGAGCCCTCAGATCCCTGCGTGGAGGAGGGGCTCCGAGAGAAATGCGGGAACCCAGCTGAGCTGCGACTGGTCCACATCCTGGTATGCGCCCTCATCACCTAGGCCCCCATCCTCCTGATGCTGTTTGCAAGCTTCAGAGATCTTGTGGCCCTGGGGGTTCCCAATCTTGTTCCTTGTAGCAGCAGAACTTTTTGTTTGCATAATACATAAAACTGAAAAAGTGGAGCTTTGAGAATGGGGTCGAGGTGTTGGGTGGGGCAGGAGCCTTTTTCACTGACTCCACTGTCCCCAAGAGACGCCAGGGAGCCCCAAGGGCCCCTGGACTCAGAGTATGAGAACTGTGTGTCTAGTTGGACGCCCTCCTTGTGCCCCCAGTCAATGCGCACATTGTGACCTGGCACAGGGAGGGCGTTTCCAAGGCCATCGGGCTGGTTGGTGGCAGCGACAGAGCGGGCTCGCCGGCAGCGCTGATCAGAAAAACACGGAGCTGCCCCCTGTTGAAACTGGAGTTCAGGGTGGGAAGCACTGTGCCGGGGCCGTCAGAGGGAGGCGCTGGTGTGGCAGGATGGCCACCCGTCCCCACAAGGAGCCAGGGCCCCTGGGAAGCAGGCGCCTCTCCCCCAGTGAGGCCTGGTGTCTGTGCCACCCCACCAGGCCGGTTGCTTTCGGAGGGTGGCTGTTGGCACGGTGTCCCAGGCTGGGCTTCAGGGGAGCCACGCCAGCCCGGAGGCCGGGGCTCCGGCAGAGTGGCTGGGCCCTGGGAATGCTCCATCTCCCGCCCTCAGAGTGGCTCCCCCCTTTCTTGGTCAAAGGTAAGGCTTCCTGTCCCATCATTCGCCCTGGTGGGCAGTCATTTAACAGACCCTTTAGTCTTTGGAGGGAGCAGTCACCCGGCTTTAAGAGATAGACGATCCCTGCTGCGTGGAGAGAGGTGAGGGGGGAAAAGAGGCAGAGAGAGGGGAAGCTGGGGCCCTGGAAACAAGCGTTCATAATTTGAACCGAGGCCACTGGAGGAGGTTATGGGAAATTACCGTGAAACCTTGGAGAACTATAGGAATGGGGTGTGTGCATAATGTGGGAAGAGGGGGCCGGAAGAGATGGCCTTTTCTTCCCAAACACACCACGGCTGGGAGGTGCTAAGGAATTCCCCATCGCTGACTTCAGTTTTGAAGAGGTCCAGGAGGCGCTAAACTCTTCTCCCATGGAGGTAGAGCTGGGAGGAGAGTGTCCTGCTTCTCAGCGTTGCTCGGGGGCACACCCAGGTGTGTGGGCCCAGGTGTGTGTGTGGAGTGAGTGCGCACGTGTGCCTTACACGCTGCCATCCTGCAGGGCAATGTGACCTCCTCACCTGCCCAGTTCTCACCATGCTCCTCACCCCTTTGGCCACCAAAGCAAGACTCAGTCCCTCTGCCTTGCAGTTTCGCAGGATGACACTGTGGCTTGGGCCCGGTTTGCACCTGCCCCCTTCTTACTAGCAGTGGGACCTTGTGCAAATTACTTCTTTGTGCTGCTTTTTTCTGCAAAATGGGGCTCACCCTAGTGACCCCCTTCTAAGGTTGCCAGGAGGGCTCATTGGGGCGACGCCCGGAAGCACTGAGCAGGGGCAGCACTGGGTCAGCTGACAGCTCAGCACCTGGGGACCATCCAGACAAGTAGCTGGGCAGATGGTGGGACAGACAGCTCAGGGCCCCCCAAGCCCCTTCATTCACCTGACAGAGTTCATGGCACCCACTAGGCTGCCCCCCAACCCGCCTCTGTCTCCGTCCCTCTTCTTCCCCGAGGTCCGGAGCAGCGATCCGTCCCATCTGGTCTACATCGACAACGCCGCCAACCTTCAGCAGCCTGAGGACAAGCTGAACTTCCGGCTACTGGAGGGCATCGATGGGTGAGGGTCGGAGGGGTTGGGTGGAGCTTCAGGGGCTGAGGCTTGACGGCCCTGCAGGAAACTGTGGGACCTAAAACTGTGGCTCCCGAGAAGTCCACAGTCCGCCACCAGACAAAAGCTGTGGGATCTGGGCCACAGGAGGGGGTGTAGGGCCTTGGGAAAGCTGAGAGGGGATTGAGCCAGCAGGCCCTTCAACTCCTGGGGGGAGTGCCTCTACCCCCAACACCCAGAGGGCCTCCTGGCCCCACAGAAGCCCGGCTGACCTGCGGGCTGTCAGCAGACCAGCCCTTCCCTTACCCCGACGGGGGACTGACCAGCTCGGCAGCCTGTCTTCCCTGCTCGGTCTTGGAAGGCAGCTCAGCCTTCCTGGGATTTTTTCTCGCATTTGCCAGGCAGGACAGTGGGCATCGCTCCGGGAGGGCGGAGTTAGCTTGCCCAGCAACTCTGGGGGAGGGGACCCACCCCGAAGCTTTATCCCCTGCCTGCTTCCACAGCTGGGTGGGAGGAAGAGTCCCTGATAACTAGTCATCGAGGGCAGGCGGCCCTTGGGCCTCCACTGGCTGACCTTGCCAGGGTTCCCCAGCTGCATCTGTTCTAGCCATCTGGCTTCGCCTCTCACCGAAACGCTCTGAGATCGCTTTTGCTTTTCCTTTCCATTCTGTTGCCATGCGTCCAGGTTTCCTGAGTCTGTCGTGAAGGTTCTGCAATCGGGGTGTCTACAGAACATGCTGCTCAAGTCACTGCAGATGGACCCGGTGTTCTGGGAAAGCCAAGGCGGGCGGCAGGGGCTGAAGCAGGTTCTCCAGACCCTGGAGCGGCGAGGACAGGTCCTTCTGCAACACATGCGGGAGCACAACCTGACAGTCTTTAGGGAGGAGGATCCGTGAGCCCCGCCCCGCCCCGCCCCGCCCCAGCCAGGCGCTCGCCTCGCTGGTCACAACACGATCAGAGCGGACGAGCGCCCACGCTGCGGCCACACTGCCTTGGGCTCACCCATCCTGAAGACAAATGGGAAAAGCCAGAGCCAGAGGGGTGCCACCATAGATGCCATGGGTGTGTCACCTGCCTGGGATGGTGGACATATGGATGTTGGGTTTCAATCTCACCACATTCGTTTCTGCACTCTCGGCTCTGGTCATTGGCTTCCTTGCACCAATAAATACATTCAAGAATGTCCTGTGGACTGTCCCGTGTGCTGTTGAATTGTGTATCCCACAGGTGCATGCAGAGCTGGACAGCGGTGTATATGTGTGTATGCATGTCTGTGTGTCAGTGTAAGTACATGTGACATGTGTACACGCCCACACACACATAGGAGAGCAGCCTAACTAAGTGTCTTCAGAGAATTGTACTCGTGGCCCAGAACTGCTTGGGCTGAGAGCTGACTCAGGTCTAAAAAATGAAGCACTAAGCATTTTGTCTTCATAGGCTTTAGATGTTCAATTCTTATTCAGTTATGTTTTGGGTTTAAGAATTATAAAAGTAATACATGCTCTCCAAAAACAAATTCATAAATAATAGAAGCACAGAAGATAAAATGTGAAAGTCCCACAAACTTCCTAGAGATGTGTGTATGTATATTTTATCTACACACTGCATGCAAATTAAACTATAATAAATGTTGTGTCATTTATGTTTGTGAACTCACTACTTTCACTTTACTACGTTCTCTCTATTCTGTGTCAGCCTCCTGGGTTGACCCAATTCTTATTTTTTTTTTTTTAAATAGGGAAAGTTTTCTTTTTTAAGGTTTTATTTATTTATTTATTTTTAGAGAGAGGGGAAGGGAGGGAGAAAGAGAGGGAAAGAAACATTGATGTGAGAAACATTGATCAGCTGCCTCTTGTAGGCGCCCCAACCAGGGCCCAAACCTGCAACCCAGGCATGTGCCCTGACCAGGACTAGAATGGGCGACCTTTTGCTCTACGGGATGATGCCCAACCAACTGAGCCACACGGGTCAGCCAATTCTTACTGATGGCTACATAGAATTGCAAGGCAGGGATGTGCCATGCTTTGTTTAGCTATTCTCATGAGGATGAACGTTAGGTGGCTCCAACTTTTCACCAATTATACACGATGCTGCCATGAACATCTTTGCATGATGCAGTTATTTCCGTTACCTATCCTCGCATAAGTGGATTTCTGCATCAAAGGGCATGTATGAGTATGTATTGTTTTTGAGAGAAACTGACAAATTTCCCTCCAAAATGGTGCTGTCAGGTTATATTCCAACCAAGAGGGAGGGCACTGAATGTCTTCCCCTGACCTCACCAACACTTGCATGCTCAAATTTTATTTTTTAATTCAACTGACAGGAAAGCTATTTTTAAAACTTCATTTCCTTAATTATTAATGATACTATATTTTCAACGATTTACCGGTCATTTGTATTTGATTTTTTTTGTGAGTTGTCTTTTTCTCTTGATATGTTTGCTCTTTCCTTGTTAATTTGTTAGAGATCTTTGAATCTAATTAGCATAATCAGTCTTTTTCCTGTTAGTTATGTTGTAAATATTTTCTTTCAGGCTGTCATTTGTCTCTTGATTTTGTTTATGGTGTCTTTTGCCAAGTAGACAATTTTAATTTCCATGGAGTCAAATCTCTCTTACTTTCCCTTTAAGTCTTCTGAGTTTCATGCCTTCTTATTTTGAGACTATTGAAATAATCTCCTATGCTTTATTCTAGTATTTGTATAGAATTTCTTTTACATTGTGTTCAGATAATGGTAATTTTTCATTTTTATTCCACAAATGTGTGTATGAATGTGTGTGTTTTATGAAGACCTTTAATCATTTTTGTTGTCTTACTACTTTGGTTGGGATCTCTGGGGAAAAGTTGAATAATAGCAGCAATAGTGAGCATTGCTATCGTATTCCAGAGTTTAGTGGGAACGCCTTTAGAATTTTGCCATTGAGTATTATCCGGTTTAGAGAAGTAGTTTATGACAAATATCTTTCATTAAGTAAAAAAAAAAACACCTTTATTTTTATGCTTAGCTTACTTTTTAAAAAATCAAGAATGGGGATTGAATTTTATTAAATACTTTCTCGATATCTATTGAATGTATAGGTTTTTCTTCATTATTTTTTAATGCTGAATCATCCTTACATTTGGCTGAGGTATATTGGTCTTTTAGGAACTACAGGATTTAATTTGCCAATATTTCGTTTAGAATCTTTGCATATACATTCATATGCGGCTGAAGATATTTCCTTTTCTGTGCCCTCCACGATCCACCTATTATTAAAGTTAAGTGGACCTCATGAAATGGATTCAACATTTTTCAGCTTTTTAACACTCTGGCGAAGTTTAAATAGAAACCGTATATTTTGCAAAGGTTTGACCGCACTCTCCCATAAAATCATCCAGGCCTTGTACCTTCTCTAGATCCTTCGCAGCCTTTTCAAGGCACTTTCGAGCTGATGTGGGAGAGGGGCAGTTCGGGGGCGAGGGGCGGGGGCAGGGAGTGGGGTGGGCTACACACATACCAGCACCTCTCATGCCTGGCGTATTCAGTGGTCACAGGAGCAAGACCTAGGCCCCTGGAAGAGGGGGTTTGGCTTCAGGAGGTTCAGGTATTTCTTTAAGGGCATCGATACATTTGTCTTCCTTTGACTTCTTGTATCTTCTCCTCTCCCTTTTCCCTTGGTTCTTTCCTAGGCTCCCCGTATCAGGGGACGCTGCCTCTCCTGGATCAACTAGTGTCCATGGAACAGCCCCTGCTCGGCCTCTGTCTGGAGCACCCCCGCCCTCCCTCCTGCCTGATGGACCTACCCTCAGCCAGAGGTGGGAGCAAGACCCTTGTCACCCTAGAAAACGTTAAGGAGAGGGGGACGTGGAGAAATGTTTCATCGCAGAGGCAGAGGGCTCTCCGTCTCTGGTTGCTCTTCATTTTCGCGCTGCTTGACTCGGAGGCTCAGAGTTAGAGGGCAATCTCGGAGAAGGTGGCTGGCCAGCGCCCCGCAGGGAGGCGAGCTGAGCCCCAGCCCAGGGCAGGTCTCCTCACAGCGGAAAAAGGCCTGGGTGGCTGCCTGGGAAAGGAGGGAAACTTGTGTGGTCTGCGCGGGGCGTGCGTGTGTAGAGTTCCTCTCTGAAGACGCCAAGCCAGGACCTCCCTGTCAGCGAGCAAAGCCCCCCCGCCCCCGCCCCGGCTTCCAGCAAGCAGGTCTGCTCAGCCAGAAGGAGGGACCCCGGGGCGGACACTCGATGGCCCCTCCCAGCCTGCCCAGGGCCTGGGGACCGCCTGAGGCTCTGCGGCAGGAGGCCGCTGTCCCTGCTCAGCCTCCCCAGCCAAGACTCCATCTGGGCGCACACTCCCCTCAGCACTGGCCTCTTTCTCTGGGGTGGGGAGTGGGGAGGGGGGCCGGGCAGACCCAAGCCCAGCTCTGTCCAAGTCCCCAGAACTCCAGGGTCGAGCCCCAGCCCCTGCCTCGGCCACTCCTCGGCTGAGAATGGCTCCAATCTGGGGGCACAGGCCTCTCAATGTGCGGTTCCCTAACAGGCACCCCTTGAGTTCCTACCTTCTGCTTCAGAAAGTCTTTAAATATATACCTATATCTCGATATCTCTATCTATCCTTAAATTTTTTTCTAGTGTTGCCTTTCAGGGGACTGGACTGGAATGTATGAGCTGTGGGTTCAGATCTGAGGTGAGCACTTGACCAACGCCCACTGAGAGCATCCGCTATAACCACCACTAACGTCTAACGACTGGCATCCACATACCAGGCACAGTGACAGTGGTTCCTTGGTTTACAGCACTGAACCTCACCATGCCCTGAGGGGGAGATGTGATTAAGTATTATTATCTCCATTTCACAGATGAGGCCCAGGGGGTTAAATAACTTGTCCAAGGTCACCCAGCTTGTAGGTGGAAGGGCCAGAATTCAGACCTGGGCAGGAGCTGCACTAAATCCTCCCCAAAGCACGTCCACCCCCCCCGCCCCGCCCCCGCCCCCGCCCCGCCCCTTCCGACCTTGCCTCCCCCTCTAACCCCTTGGGTGCAGAGCTGACGCAGAAGCAGCGCCAGTTCCCTGCAACATGGAGCAGCAAACGGAGGCTCTGGCCAAGCATGTTCCCAGGCAGTTGGCCCCCCGCACCTGGCTCTTTGCTGGTGAAAGCCTGCTCCATCTATGAACTGCGTCTTTCCGGCAAACTTGAAACCTCATCCGCTTTTTATCCTTCTCAAAAAGCAAGCACAGCCTCCGCGCGCACTGCTGGCTCTGTGCCCCGCCCACCATTACCTCTGGAATGAGAAGGACGTGCCAAGTGAGCAAACTGCGAAGGGTGGGGAGGACATTCCCACCAACGTCAGGTGCCTGGAGGGCAGGAGCCGCCTGGGTCTGCAGCACAGGGGCGGGGGCGGGGGAGTGGGAAGGGTGTCTGCTCAGCTGCAGGCTAATCCGCCTTAGGCAAGAGGCCTGGCAGAGGGCTCCACTAAGCTGCCCGACTGGCCTCACCCTAGGCTTGACTCTGTTCCTTTGCACCTCACCCCAAAAAGGCTATTCCAAGGAAATGATGGCATTTCCAAGCAGGGGAGGTTCGTAACTCTCTACGTGCCATTCCAACAGTCCCCAACCTCTGCAAATTGAAAACCTTTTCATCCGGCCGGTGCCAGAACTCTGGTCCCACGCCACGGGGACATTCACGTTTCACTGCTGAGACATTGGCAAAGGTTCATCGGGAGCACCCACTATGATCAGCACTAACATTCAATGACTGGTGACGACGTACCAGGCACAGTGACAGTGCTTCACATGGTTTAAAGCACTTAACTTCACCACAGCCTGGTAGGTAGATGTGATTAATTATTACCTCCACCTCACAGATGAGGCCCAGAGGGGTTAAGTAACTTGTGCAAGGTCACCCAGCGTGTAGGTGGAAGGGCCAGAATTCAAACCCGGTAGGAGCTGTGCTAACTGGCCTGGAGCCCAGGGCTCAGTTCCTGGGTGGAACCTCCATCCCTCTGGGAGGCTTGCATAACACATGATACCTTTCTCTATCCGGAAAATGCAGATTTCTGGATCATCTGGCCTCCAGTGCCAGGTAAGGAATTCCGGAGCTGTCGTAACTAATTTATTACGAGGCAGTTGCTCAGAGCTCTCCCCGGATGACTTCCTGAATGCCCAAAGCAACCCCCGCTGCAGATCCTCCCTGCAGAGAAAGAAGCTCAGCCGGGCAGGGAGTGCGTTGCCCGCGGCCGCACAGGTAGAGGCGGCAGAGTCTGCGTGAACCTGGGGGGTGCTGCCTGGAGTGACCTGAACACAGACAGTGGCCTCCATGCCAAGAGCGTTGCCTTTGCTCCTTATGGCAAACCTTCAGAATGACTCCAAGGAGGCGTTATTGCTCCCATTTGACAGTCAAGGAAACAGGCTCAGAGAGGCTGAGTCACTTGCCCAAGGGCACAGAGCAGGTAACTGGTGGAGCTGGGATTTGAACCCAGGCTTGTTTGACTCTAGAGCCTCTGCTCCTTCCTTCCTTCCTTCCTTCCTTCCTTCCTTCCTTCCTTCCTTCCTTCCTTCCTTCCTTCCTTCCTCCTTCCCTCCCTCCCATTCATTCAAAAAATCTTATTGAGCAAATTTCCCCAGAGAACATACAATTTGGAAGGAATTAGAGGCCGTGTGCTGTGGTGGCCACATGTTCCAGATGTTTGGAGACAGGCCCAGTTTTATGTTCCATCTGGTCTTCAGCGCGCGTCTCAGCGTTCTGTTTGGAAAGCAGTCCCTGTAACTGAGGACGCAGCTGTGGGCCCGAGGAGGTCAGAGGAGGGCACAGGAGACGCGGGTGGGGAGGGAGACCTTGGTGACCGTCCTGAGATGTTTCCCCGTGGCCTGGCTGCTGGCCGTCCCACCTGAATGCCCGAGGCTTGCCAGCCAGCTCAGGTAAGGCCCTTCCTGCAGGCTCCCTCCCAGCCACCTGCGGGCAGGGGCTGTCTCTCTGGTTTTGGATTTCTCCGTGGATGCTGGCCTTGCTTCCCCTTCAACCATCCCACGCTCTGCCCCAAGGCAGGAGGGGCGTGGATTTATGACCCCTCGGAGGGCCAGTGTAGAGTCCCCCCCGCCCCGTCCTTCCCTCCCCCCTCCCCTTGGCACCACCCGCCTTCCTGACTCACACAAGACCCCTGCTGGCCCACCTGGGATTCTGGTTAGCGTGGCTCGGGGGGTGCTCCTGTGGGGTTGGCATCTGGTAGGGCCTTTGGCTGCGGCGGCTGGAGGCTTTTGGGGGGTGAATGGGAGAGCTGGGGCAACCCCTGGTTTTGTCCAATCAACGAGTCACCAGGTTCTCTGAGGACGTTAACCAGGAGGAAGGTGTCTCTAGGTAGAAACTCAGGTTTCACTCAACAGCAGAGACAGTGTTCAGTTTGGGTCCTAGGGATGTGGAAGGTGATGGGCTGGGGAAAGTGCTGCATGGCAGGACTGTTCACCTGAGAGGCCCTGGCGGCGATGGCAGTGTCCAGCAGGGAGGCAGATGGAGGCCCAGGGAACCCCAGAGGCGGTGGGATATGATCCGAGGGGTGCTGGGGCGGGACAGACACCGGGCTCCCTGTTGATGGAGAATGTGGCCCACGTGAGGTGCGGTCTGAGGAGCTTCCTGAGCAGCCTCGCTCCCTGCTCCCAGCTCCCTGCTCCCAGCTCCTGCCCTAACCTTCACCTGAGTCTCTAATAGGTCCTTGTGTTCAAGATGCAGATTTAAAGCAAACAGCCTTGAGAAGTAATATCTTTCATGTTAAATGCATTTTAATAATCCCTATATAACAAAGAAATCCTGCCTACTAAATTTCTGAAGTTTAAAAAGTTACCAATATGGGGATGATGGAAATAATCCACACCCATAGGCGTTGGGCGGCCACAGGCGGATGTGTTTGTCCAGCTTGTGGATTTCTACACCGGAGTCCTGTGTATTTCACTGGAAGTTAATTGAACTCCAATTTAAAAACAAAAAACAAAAACATTAAAAACAAAAAGAAGCAAAAGTGGAAGAGCTGGCAATACTCAGAGCTATCAAAGGGTGGGCCTAACCAATGCTGTGACTTGGGGAAGGGGCACCAATTTCTTTGTGAGTCCACACAATGGTAAGTTCTCCAGCCAACCAGGACTTTGTTTTCAGATAATGTTTAGTGACATGGTAAAGTGTTCGTGTTAAAACGTCAAGAGAAAACAGCACCCAGGATGAAACTTCATGGCAGGATTTCAGATTCAGAAAAAGTGCTTTGGACACAGGCAGAAACCCTTTCCTTCACAGAATCGAGGACCAGTCCTGGAGCCCCTTCTGCGGCCGAGAGCAGACACAAACACCCACACTGACCCGTGGGCGCCCCCTTGTGGGGGCGGAGTGCCTTCTGGGCCGTGGGACTGGCAGGGCAGCGGAGCTGGGGCTGGGGGAATGCAGCAAGCCTAGTTACCAGGGAGCTGCAGGGATACACACCGAGTTCCCTGCCCCTTGAGCTGAGTTTTTCCTTTGCCATGAGGTGTAATGTGCATACGTAAAGTGTGTAAAGTGCACTAATCCCCCAGTGTAAGCTGATGCTTGTTTGCATGGACAGCCACATCGTGTAACCCCTTGCGGATCAAAACATTCCCCACCTCCTAGGCTCCCCCGTGTTCACCCAGTCGTTAGCCCCTCCCTAGTAACCACGATTCTGACCTCTGTTGCCAGACTGGTTTTCTTGTCCTAGGATTTCCCATAAATGGAGCCATATAGTATATATTGTTTTGGGTCTCACTTATCTGTGAGATTTACATTGTTGCACGTACGCAAAGTTCTTTTTTTTTCATTGTTGCGTCCTTTGCATGAATTTACCTGCTGGTGGTCATTTGGGTTGTTGACAGCTTTTGTTTAGTTAGAGCTGGGAATATTTTAATACCTGTCTTTTGAGGACATCAGCACCTAGTTCTTGGGCATGTATCCGGAAGTGGAATCGCTGAGACAAATGCTGGCTGGGACACACATTCCGCTTTAGTGGAAACTGCCAAATAGTTCACACTCCCCACTCCCCAGCAGGGCCTGAGACTTCTGACTGAACTGACTTGTCCCAGGTGGCTTCACGTAGCAGCCTGGGACGGTGGCAGATGGAGGGCACGATTAGGGAGAAAGGTATTCTGGGTAAGGGGAGTATTTTGGAGGTACATGCCAACCATGGAAATGTGCCCCTCAGATCTCCTGCCGTGAATCCGAACCAGCACTGGGACCACCCTTCCCACGGTGGCTTGCAGCCAGTGACTGGGACACGCGTCGGATAGACAACCCTGGCTAAGAAACCCAATTATCCTGGTGCGCACCTCTCAGAACGCAGCGTAGCCTGAGGCTCGCTCCTTGACCGCCATTCCCTCTCCTTCACAGGAACCAGACCTGCACCAGAGTCTCCCTCTGAAGGAGAGGCCAAGACACTTTCTCCTCTAAGGACACATGTGACATGGGGTTAACTTTCTAGCTCTGTTTCCACAGAAGCCAGATAAAGGTGGAATGTCAGGTGTGTGTTTGGCAACACTGCTGATGGTAATGATCTGTGTGCTAGATAAGCTGCCTCTGGACTGGGGACTAGAATGAAGGAAGTAGGTGCCCACCCAGGAGGACACCAGAGGACAGGCTCCACAAGCCCAGTAACTCACAACCGGCATGTCCCAAGGGACCCTGGGAACCGACGGTGAGTTGTTTAAATGATAATGGCTCCTGCGGGGCTTCCAAGCCAAAGTGTCCCCCACAACTACCACTGTGGGTCACGTCTCCTTGCCCTTGAGCGGTCACTTGGTGGGGGGGAGGAAGAGACTGGCCCCTGGCCTGGCGTGAGGACCCCTCTCCCATGGAAGGAGAGAGCCTGATGCTGCCCTGCCACCCCGCCGAGCATCCTGTCCTACGTCCTTCTGAGTGGATCCCGTGGCGGGGGCGGGGGGGGGAGGGTCTGTCATGGTCTCGTGAGTGTGAATGTCCAGCTGACCCTGAACCGCTGGTGGTCACTGCTCCGCCTCACCACACCCTCTGCCACGCATTCCCAGGCTTGTAGCCCTTCTAGGTGGAAATGTGACCTTCACCCAGCAGTCAAGGTGAAATCCGATCAGCCGGCCTCCCTTTCCGGTCCTTGACGCTTTCCCCACTGCCACATCCTCTTGGTTGACAATTTGGACTAAAGGGCATCTCCCAGCCCCACTTCCTACCATGCAGTAAAAAAACTGGACCGAGATGTTTATAATCATTTAATGCATGTCCCTTTAGTGGGCTACAGGGGAATTGTATGGGGATGGAAGCTGATAAACCAGCTGCCCAAACCACCACATGATCGATTACTTGCAGTTTCCAGAAGCCTAGGAACCAGCCAGAAAGACTCGGTAGGGACCAACATGATCGCCCAAAGAGGTTCTGTAGGATTCTTACCTTCCTTCCTCCTCTTCCTCCTCCTCCCCCTAAAGACCTTTTCCAGGGGTACGGATGCTCAGGATGGGAGAAGGGGACAGGGGCGGGGGTGTCCCATCGCACCACGGCGCAGAGGACTACTGCGAACCCCATCCCCCAGATGCAGTGAGAAGACACAGAGGCACAGGCCCGGGGCAGGCCTGCTCAATAAATAAACAACTCCCAGAAGCCACCAGGGGCGCAGGGAGGAGCAGGCCCAGGGGCCCTGAGCTGGGGGAGCCACCGTCCTGAGGCCTGGCCCCTGCGCGCTCGCTACGTGCTGCACACCAGCACGTCTGCGAAGGGTCCCAGCAGGAGCTTGTTGAAGATGCAGCGGACCCACACCAGGTAGGTGGTGAAGGGCTTGATGTTCTCAGTGAAGGTGTGGTTCTGCAGGGCCAGGATGTAAGGCACATAGGTGTTCTCCCCCTGCTCCTGCAGCCACACCTCGTACTTCACCTCCCTCACCTTCAGGTACTTGAGGTTCCACGGGATCTGCCAGGAGACGGTGAGGCGGGCCTCGGCGGCGCCCTGCACCGACGCCTGGCACCGCGCCTCCCGCACCTTGCCAGGGTAGAGGCCGACCGCCCACTTCTGCTTCCGTGGCCCAGGCCGGCCCTTCACCACACGCCGTATAGTCTGGATGAGGGATGGGATGTCCACCTTGGTGTCCTGGTAGATCCGGAACAGCCACTCGGGGTTGCGGCAGCAGAGATGCCGCGGGACCTCCTGGCTCTGTAGGATACGGGCCTGCTCGGCCTGATCCAGGTGCGCGATGCCCCCCTGGTCCCAGGGCCGCTCGGGGTGCGTGACCGTGTTCTCTGGCAGCGTGTTCCGCCAGGCGACATAGTGAAGGTCCATGCCCGGCAGTGTGGCCAGCGTCTTGTAAGGGGTGTAGTGGTCAGGGTTGACGGCATACGGGAAGAGCTCCACCACAGTGGCCCCGCGCGGCAGGAAGAGCGCCGTGACCAGCTGCGCCCCGTGCATGCTGACCAGCATGGAGGCGTTGCTGACCAGCCCCACGACATCCGCAAAGGCGTGGTCCTCCAGGGACACCGTCACCGTCTTCATCTGGAACTCCTGAGCCAGCGCCAGCAGCAGCTCTGCCTCGTTCAGGATAAGCCTGTTCTCCGTGCGGCTGAAGACCAGAATGTAGTCCTCGCCCAGCGGGGCCCCCGCGTGGCTCACATTCAGCTTTTCCCTCATGAACCGCGCGAACTGCCGGATCTCGTTGCCAGAGACGAGGATGTTGGCCTTTGGGCCCTGGGGCTGCACGAAGCCGTACTGGTACCAGGTGGTGATCTTGGAGAGGCCTACGAACGCGTGGGAGAAGCACAGCAGGCGGCCCAGGGTCTTCAGCTGGGCCCGCAGGAGAGGCTGCTTGGGGCTGAGGAGCTTGTAGAGGTCAAAGTGTGCCCCCTCGCCCCAGCCCTCCATGAAGAAGAGCCGGGCCTCGCGTGCCAGGCCGGGGAACTGGCGCAGGGTGTAGAAGAGCGGCAGCAGGTCGTCGTGGAAGACGTGCATGAGGTTGTCGGGGTTGAAGCGATTGGCAATGAGAGCCACGTCCGGCAGGAACACCGGCTTGGGCAGGAACCGCAGGGCGGCGGCCGGCAGCTCCACGAAGTTGAAATACTGCGTGTTGTGGTCGTCCACGGTGGACAGGTCCAGCAGGGCTGGCTGGAAGCGCCGGGAGCCCAGGTTGGGCAGCATGACGGAGGCGTTGCCGTGGAAGAAGATGAACTCCTCCGCCTCGTTGGAGTAGCAGAGCCACTTGAAGCGGCAGATGCGGTCGGTGTGCGTGCGGCCCGTGCACACCATGTGCGTGCCGCCCTCCATCAGGCTCTGCAGCGCCTTCGGGTAGTCGATCCTCGGCGCCGGCGCTGCCTCGGGGGCCTGCCGGCCCAGGGCCAGCTCCTCCTCCAGGCTGGCCGCATGCTCACGCAGGCGCACGTGCTTCCACAGCACGGCCGCCAGCACCGACACCAGCAGCGCGTTGACCACGGCCGAGAGCTGCATCCTAACGCCGCCACCGCGGGGCCCTAGCAAGGTGAGGACAGCCGCTGGGAAGCGCCGCAAGCCATCCCTGCAGGCCCCCTGAGCATGGACCAGCAAAAGCCTGTGAGAGAGAAGGACAGGGAACAGGTGTTGGCACAGTCTGTCCGCGGCTGCCGCTGCGGGCCGGGCGCTGTGCTCAGCTCTGGGTCCCGGCCCCCGCGGGGCCCGGACACCTTTCTGCGCACACCGGCAGCGCAGTGGATCGGACCTTTGTGCAAAAGTACTTACTCCCCGGACCCCGCTGCTTCCGCGGGACCATACACACGTCTACACCTTGACTCTGGGCTTGGCCACTTGCCTTCACCCAAAAAGAAACAATAAAGAAATCGCTATTACAAGTGACAGAACTCTAGAGGGTCGACGAGTCATAAATTAATATTCAGAAAAGAGAAAAAAATAAAGCTCTCCCAGGAGGAATAAGACACAGATTGTGTGGCACAAGCTGATGCATGTTTCACTCCGATCATACAAAGAACGGCTTCCAGTAGAAAGTAAAGCTAAAACCCATACACCCAGGGCTATCGAAAAGCAAGACCCCCAGGAAAGTGAAGGGGGAAAGAGAGGAAAGGCCCGCCTCCAACCTGAGGGGGCATCCCAGCCCCAGGTACTCACCTGTCCAGTGAGCATTCTGCCACCTGCCCTCCCGCATGCAGGAGCCCCTGGGGTGAAGGCAGGCTTGGGGGTTGGAAGGTGGAGGGTGGGGCCTGCAGGCGGGAAGGAGGCCAGGGTTGTCCCTTGGGCCTGGGGGGCTGAGTGCAGCAGCCGGTCCACGGAGCTCAGGCCTTGAGGCAAAGCTTACGGGAGCCAGGCAACATGGGGGTTGGGGGTCTTGTGGGGCAAATGAGCAACGAGGCAGGAACCAGTCTTGGGGACTGGGGACGGAGGGGACTGTTTATCGCATGATGCTAAGTCCTCCATGCCCCCGAGTCCTGCTGGACTGGTGCCGACAGATGGCGGGATGAGCACAGGCACCCTCCCTGGGCACTCCAGGCTCTCAGGTACCCTTCGAAGGGGGTGCGGGGTGTGGAAGGCAGGTTTGCTGGGGCTGGACGGAGCATCGCGCTGGAAGTAGTGCAGTGCTAAAGCTCGGGGCTCAGAGCGCCTGGGTTTCTTACCCGACCACCGACGAGCCAGGCAGCCCGCACCAACGTCCGGTGGGAGCACATGCACAGACACCACCCTCCCCGGGTGGGAGAGCTGAGGCGTGTTCACAGCGGCTGCCAGAGCTCCCTAAGGACGCAGCAGGCCCCCGCGGTGGTGACAGGCTTGATGCACACCCTTGTCCCTTCCGCTGTCTCACTTCTCCCCTCCCCCGTTCCTGATCACTGGGAGCCAGTGCAGATAATCTCCGTGCACTTGAAGCCTCGCCTCGGGATCTGCTCTGGGGCCACGTGGATTACGCGGATACTGCGGCCTTTCACCACGGGGAGACAGATGGAGAACCGCCCTTGGACTTTCACCTGCTGGGAGGTCCCCCCGCCGAAGTGATGTGGGAGAAAGGCAACAAGTACTGGGAAGTCACTGCATGGTCACCATGGAGGGGCCCACACTCCCCCTGGGTCCCCGCCCCCCAGCTGTCCTGCATAAGCCAGCACAACTGAAAGATCAAGCAAAGTCCTCAGAAAGGTTTTCAAAAGGGAAGAGATGGAGGCAAAGAGTACATTAATCAGACCCCTGGTTCTGCAGAAGATCAGGGAGGGCTTCCCCCATCGCTGTATAAAGTGTTCCTGGATAATGAACCCGACTCCCTGAGAGGAAGATTCAAAGCCGTGAACACACGGGTGGAGTCGCTTAGTGGGCCACAGCCCCAGCGACACCCCCTTTCCCCAGGCCAGGTGCACTGTCCTGGGCCTGCCAATGCCTGGGCTGTGTGACCCGGACACCGGACACCCGGGCCGGGCTCAGGGTAATGAGGGCGGGCAGGCACGCGGCCTGGTGGTGCCCACGTGCCTCAGTCTGCTCGGGCTGCCGTCACAAAGCACCGCAGACTGGGGGGCTTAAACAACAGACATGCTTTTCCTCACGGTTCTGGAGGCTACAAGTCCAAGATCAACGCGTCAGCACGTCTGGTGTCCCCCAAGGCCTCGGCCCTTGGCCTGCTCGCCGTGTGCTCGTAGCCTCTTCCCCATGTGTCCACAGAGAGAACGAGGACCCTGCTCTCGCTCCCTCTTCTCATGACGACGCCAGCCCTATCCAATTAGGGCCCCGCCCTGATGACCTCGCGTAACCTCAGTTATCTCCTTAAAGGCCTTGGGGGGTTACGGTTGGACGATGTGAATCTGTGGGAACATAATTCAGTCCATGACACTGCTCTGCTGGTCCTTCCAGAGGAGACAGAAGTCCACTTCAAATGTCAAGCATGCTGCCATATACCTTCCGGCAACTGTTCACACTGAATGAAGCTGACACGCAGGCCCGAGGGCTGAGGCTGCTGGCCTCTCCAGCTGCTCCACGTCCCCAGCTTCCCGACAGCCAGAACCAGCTGCTGCGCACCAGTCACTCCTCCAGGAGCAGGGCCGAGGAGGTCAGGGACTGTTGGCCCCCGCCCGCCCCCGCCCGCCGAGGACCCAGCCGGCCAACAAGGTGGCCATGCAAGGTTTTACGTCATTTTCTAACCATTTTACTTCCAAGGGCGGTTCCTAATTCTCTCGGAGAATTACAGCACGCTAATTCAGTCCCTGAAAAGTGCCATGATCCCACATGCAGCCAGGACTACTAGTGTGAGGGATGGAGGCGTTCGGTCCCGTGGGGACGTGTCTCACACCCGGGGAGTTAGGAAAGCGCAAACAAGTCCCGATGCCTCAAACATCCTCAGCATGACCCCTCCGGCCCCCACCTCCTTTTGTTACCAGAAGCAGCATATAAAGCTGGGCTAGCAACATGCCACTTGAATGTGCCCCAGAATTAGACATGTACATAGCAGCAGGTTTTCTGACGAAAGTATTTACCCTTCGCCAAAACGTCGGCAGCCTCTGCATGCTCCTGGTAAGACTTTGCGATTAATTGAGTGGGCATATTTAACACTTCGTTAAGCGTTCACATTTTTAGACTAAACCCTTGACGTGAATCGTATCTCCTTGTTTTGAATAAAGGGCCAAGCTGAGTCAAAGCTGGAGACATTAATGGTAGGGTGACAGCTGGCGACTGGGACGCGGCTTCCTTATCAATAAACGGTGATGGGACGCCTTCAAAGAGGGGGACCCCAGTAGAATTCCAGGCCGTGTGACTCAGGCGTGATGGGCAACGTTAGGCTCGGCCGGGGAAAGCCCAGGTCCCAAGGTCCTCGGCCCAGGCAGGACAGTGGAGCCGGCGGGGGCGAGCCCAGCCTCCCACCAGCTCGCCTGCACCCTCTCACCAGCCCCCCAACGTAGAAACCTTCGGTCGCACAGCCTGCTCTGACACCGTCTGGTTTTTGCTTGGCACCTGTCAGTCACCGGGAAGTTAGAGCCCGTGTGGGCCTCTCCGGCATCGCAGAACGGCACGACAGCGCACCCGTGTGGCCGTACACGGGGATGCCAGCAAGGACCAGAATCGCGCGAGCCTCTGCTGAGATGCTCAAACAGGTGGCGCAGAACACGCCTGCATCAGTTTCTCTGGGTGAAACTGCAGAGTCAAATACAATCCATTCTTACAGGGAAGGCTCCGACCCCAACGTGGACACATACCCAGTGGGTCCCCGGGGCCTTCCTGAGAGGACTGACACATCAAGAGAGGCAGCAGACAACTCACCACAGGAAGCATAACACAGTCACGGAGAAGCACGAAGTACGCACAGCACACAGGGGCGTGGCAGGAAAGAGCACTGGTCAGGGCTGGGGCCCCCCAGAGAAGCGACCTGGTGGCGAGGGAGTTCTCAGCAAGGTTTCGGGGATATTTTGGTGGTCATGGGGGATAAGGTGAACATCTCTGTTAAGTGTTCACATGTCCCCATGGGCAGTGACTGCTCCGAATCTGTCCACAGCAGGCGTCCCCATGCCCAGGGGTCACACGTGCCCGCTCAGCAAGTCCTGAGGCCGCTGGGCTCTCCACCCATCCTCGGGCAGTGCTGGCCAGGCCCACCGCTGCATGGCGCTGCGTTACCCGGCGGGTAGGAACTGGGAGCCGGGCTGCCGGCCAGGCATGGGCAGTGCCAGGGGGAGGCAGGGGGTGAAGCTGCCAGGGCACCTGTGGAGCCCCGCAGGCTCGGGTGGCCACTACAAAGCCCTCTGCAGGGGAAGCTGAGTGATGAGTGGCCAAGGCACTGGTGGTCGCTGCCAGCCACCCAGGGAGCCTGGAACCAAACATCAGCAGGAGACGGGGCAGGCTTTGGCTTGGGTTTTCTTCTCTTTTCTTCCCCCCCCCCCCTTTATTTTTATAGAGAGGGAAAAGAAGGGAGAAAGAGAGGGAGAGAAACACTGGTGTGTCAGAGGTACAGTAATCGGCTGCCTCTCGGCGCCCTCGAGCAGGGACCAAACCCGCAACCCAGGCACATGCCCTGACCGGGGATCAAACTGGCGACCTTTCGCTTTGGGGGACCCACTGAGCCACACCGGTCAGGGCCGGCTCAGGTTTTCCTTTGGCCTCTTCACCATCCAACAGCAGCAGCAGCAGCAGCAGCAGCAGCAACGCTGGCCAGTTACTAGGAGCCAGGCTCCCCACTTCCCAACGACAATCTGCGTTTTATAGATGCTCAAACCACAGCCAGAGTTGGAGCTGCCCAGAGTTACACAGGAAACAACCAGGAGGCCCGCTACAGCATCTGTGATCTTGTTTTTTTCTTTTTATCCGGAAATAATTCCAGACTTACAAAAACTTTCATGTATACTACAAAGAACTCTCCTACAGACTCACCAACTGCGAACTGGACACATTTTGTCATTCCCTCTTTTCTGAACCATTTAAAAATAAGTCGTAAACATCTTGCCCCTCTAGCCCTTAATAGTTCAGCATGTGTTTCCTAAGAATGAGAACACCCTCTTATGTAACATAAATTCGGGAAGTTAATATTGATATGAGATGGTCATTAACCCGCGGTCTCCATTCTGTGGCCCAGAACCCAATCCGGGGTGAGGCGTGGCATCA